CTTTTTTGTATGAGTGCGGTATACAATAATTCCAGGAACTCTGTGCGAGGAGGATGTAAACGAATGTGAATCAGATCCTTGTCACCCAATGGTTGATTGCATCAATCTGCACAATATGTATTGGTGCACTGCATGTCCAGACGGTTACCATGGTGATGGAATTAGTTGTAAACGTAAGTTTGTTTTGTTACAGGCATTATTGCATGTGTTTTATGTTTTATGTTTTTTTTTTTTTTTTTTTTTTTCTTCAAATAACTATGAGATCATTCCATATAATTTAAGTGTTCCCTGGATCACAGTGATTCAGGAAACACTTAAATTACATGGAATGATCTCGAACTATACTAAGGCGTGCTAATCAGATTGAGTTCCTGTTGTTTGCTATTTGGTCATGCCAATTTAACTGTTCCCTGATGTGATCGAACTGTGATTTACCCATTGTTTTCTCCAAATGCTGTATTAAACATTTACAAGCCCTTTATTATAGATTAATATACCTGATAGTCACGACTAAGGTTTTCGCGTCATGAAACACAATACACATTATTCAAATTTTGTGGAATTATTTTTCGGGATGCTTAAATATGCCATCAAAAACATACAATTTAGAACACTTCAAGTTTGAACGTTAAAAATATACTTACAGTGTAGCACGGAAAATTTGGTTAAAATTTATTAAACCTAATGCTTTTAATCGTACTTGAGATTTCATAACACTTTTATGTCCAGGTAGCGAAATGTCCGTGGCGCAGATATGAAAGGTTTGGGGCAGAGCACGGGTTACAAACACTGATCTCTACTATAATAGATGAAGCTAAAACCAGCCAATGAGCAATCCACCTATTACAGTAGATCAGTAGTTACGAATCGTCTGTCGTTCGTTGTAAAAATATTTTCGAGTAGGTCTGTATCAAAACATATTATGTTTTCATTTTCGCAATCATGCGATAAAGCACTAATATTCCTATTTTTTGTCATTTATTTTCAGCAGTTACCGGAAATAGAGGTTCTGAGAATACGAATGGAAAAGATGATAATAAGCAAAACTGTCCTGTTTGCGACACAGGAAGGTCATCAATTACCAAATCCATGTCCGTCCAGTTATTGATTATTATATCGATGTTTTCTTATATATTATCAAAAATAAGCTAACACTTCCTTAATTAATATATTCCAATGAGTGGCCTTGTCATGTCCAAAAATGTACTTGATTGGGTGCCGCGATTTATAAGAAGGTCCACTTGTAAACCAAAGGTATGATGTATTTAATACTTGCACTACTAGATTTATAATGTATTTTTTTTAAATTTTTAATTCTTGTATAATAATACGGCATGTATTGTGTGACGATGTGAAAGTGTTATTTAATTTGTAATTTTGTTCAGACGATAATAATGACATTACAAAATCCTGAAAGAGGTTTATGAGCCTTGTGACATAATGACACTAAGAAACAGTGGCGCATCTAGGACTCATGAAATAGGGGATCTGATGGGGAAGGGGACGTGAAGGTGAAGTGCAGGACTCAATGATTAACCTCTTAAGACGCAACATTAAAATATTTTAAAAAAATCATCGTTTTAAAGGTTGAATAGGAAATTTGTATCCTAATTAGAAGGTTATGGAATTTTTTTTTCTGGCAAGGGGTTTTCGAGATACGGCAAAAAACAATGAAAAATGAAAGAAAATAGCGCCCTCAATCGGGCCAAATAAAAACCCCACAGCATACTTCACATTTTTCATTTCATGAGGCTGTTATGATATGGCAAAGATCTTATAATATATAGATAAGATCTTATAACAAATAGAAGCGTCGGTCAAGGTTCAAAAGTTTCCAATTTAGCAAGAGGGCGCCATTCATGCGCTATTATACCAAAGAGAAAAAGTAATCAGTTTTGGAAGAGGGCGTCCTATCTGTTGCCATGGATCTGAGATTGTTCCTGTTCTGTTCACAGGATTGATACCCTAAAGGTAAAGTCGCGCGGTGTACGGTATGGTAAGAGCGGTCAAGGGTCAAAAGTTTCCAATTTAGCAAGAGGACGCCATTCATGCCTTATTACAGAATTTGCACGCGTAAATCGCGGAGAACGCTATCTTGTGTTTATAAGATCTTTGTGATATGGTAAATCCAACTACAGAGGGCAGCAGACACTTTTTCTGGAACATCAGATAGTAGTTCCAGCCAGCTTGATGTTATTAACAACAACATGACCTTGACCCAAACAAATGTCATCATATGAGACTATAATTGTTAAAATTTGTCTCCAAATTTTTGTGGAGTAGTTGTGGACCTGTTTGTGTACTCGAACGTTATATACCAGTAAATGTGAATGATTTCTCATTTCGAAGGAAATACTTGATCTCTACAACAAAATTGTTAGCCTCAACGTCTCGCTTGCCCGCCAACTTTGTAAGCTACTGACGCCACGCTTTGTCTATTTGTCGGCCCAATTGGATAGCCCCACATAGGACTTCAATAGCCTTCGGTTGAGCAACAAAACAACTCTACAATACTGTGTTACGGTTGGCTTTAACGAATTTGTTTCTATATGGTAATTATATATTATATACTATATATATATATATTTTTTTTTAAATTTATAATCTAATTTGAACACCATGGCTACATGTTCACGGCCTACGGTTGGAACTCCACCAGAATCGCAATCATTGACGTCGAATATCACTCAGAGAATTATCGCTTGTTTAGATAACTGTACAATGAAAGATTTCAAAGGTAAACCAATTGAATGTGCTCTCTGTTCTTCGAGTTTCATCCACAATGTGTTGGACTGAATGCGTCAGGAAAGAGACCGACATGGTTCTGCCCAAATTGTAAAGACATTACTTCAAGCATTACTATCTTGAAAATCGAAATAGATCAAATCAAGAAGGATATGAAACAAATCAAAGATGAAAATAACAGCTTGAAAAGAGAAAATAAGAAGCTAAAATCAGAACTCCAAGCTCAAACGGAAAGTATAGCTAACCTAACTACAGACGCCCATCATGAGCCAGCGAATAAAACAGAACCCATTCCAGGACAAGAAAGGAATTCAACCTTGCTCATTGGAGATTCAATCATAAAACATATAAATGAAAGGGGCCTTTGTAACACTAAAAGTTAAATGCATGCCTGGTGCGAAAATCCGAGAAATTAAGGAAAATATAACACATGTTCTACAGGCGGATCCGGCTAAATTCGACACAATCATTATCCATGCCGGGACGAATGATTGCTCAATAAACGACGCCCATCTCAACAATGCATCAAAGGACATCCGCGACTTAGTACAAGATATGAAAACAAAAGCGCCAAACACCAAGCTTATCATTTCAACGATTTGCCCACGAACAGATAACCAGAAATTTCAAGAGAGAGTCGATAAACTAAATAACAACTTCAAGGAAATTGCGACTGAAGAGGACTGTACGATTGTCAACAATGACCTGACATTTAAGATGTCGAACAATGAATGCGAACAAACTACCCTAAATAGAAGTGGTCTACACCTCAGCAAATATAGAACAAAGAAACTCCTGAACAACATTATCGCGACTCACTGCATAATCAAACCCAAATCACCTACCACCGATCGACACCATAAGTATACCAACCAGAGTCCACATAGCAATACAGACCGATCGAATAGACACCTACATCAACGACAAACGCCAAGAAAAGCTTTCTGCTACTTCTGCGGAGAAACAAATCATCATATGAAACAGTGCACACACGGAAGGCCAATTCAATGTCGCTCATGTAATCAGTATGGACACAAACAACACCAAAACCTATGCAGGAACAAATAAAAATTCGGCGAAGATGAAGATGCCGCTCCTGACAATAACAGGAAGGACTTGTGTGGTAATGTGTTTAACGATCAAAATAATAG